TAATAAAACCAGTACCATCAGTGTGTCTTCTGATGTGCAAGCAAAAACTTTGAATCTTAAAAGCAGCAACAGAGAGCGAATCACATGTAAGGGAACCCCATGTTGCCATGAGCAGGCTTCTCAGTAGACAGCATGCAAGCCAGGAGGAGATGTGTTCAAAGTGCCGAGATTAAAATGCAGCAAAAGAACACTATACGGAAAATCGACAGTTTCATGTCAGGTATTACATACACTGATCTCGGCTCACAGCCCAAACCGTCCACCCGTAGGAAAGGAGACGCAGCATCAAATGCTTTGTGGACAGAGTGGGCAGGCACGTAGCAATTGGCAGGTCCAATCAGCAGTGTGGCCTGTTCTCAGGGTGGCTGTCCTTGGAACACCGGGCATGTCTGAGCATCAGGGACACTTGCAAGTGCAGCTGTGTGACACTCAGACTTTGCAGTGTGACTGTGAACATTAGAATATCTTCAGGATTGACACCAATTTCTGTTTATGTCTTTGAAGAATATGCATGCTATTTAGGAAAGTTGGAAGATTAAATGAGTTCTTTAAGAGAGTGGCATTTGCCAGGCATGGTGGCAAACGCCTTTAGTAACAGCACTTGGGAAGCAAAGGCTGGGGGATCTCTGTGAGATCAAGGCCAGCCTGGTCTACATAGCAAGTTCCAGGCCAACTGGGGCTATAGGGAGACCCTGTCTCAAAAAGACAAATAAGGGTGGTGGTGGTGGTGGTGGTGGTGGGCTGGAAAGATGGCTCAGTGGTTAAGAGCACTGGCTGCTCTTGCAGAGGACCCAGGTTTGATTCCAAACACCCATATGGTGGCTAGCAACTATCTGTAACTCCAGTTCCAGGCTATCCAACACCCTCTTCTGGCCTCCAAGGGTATTGCATGACATGGATGCACTTACACACATACACTCCTACATTTAAAAAATAAATACTTTAAAAAAGAGTGACACTTATCTCCCCCAACAAGACAACTGTGCTAAAGGAGTCAAGGTCAGAGTCTCCCTTTCAGAGATGAGACGTTGGACACTGGAGATCCTGCTGTCCTGCCCTGCCATGGCTGGTGGCTGAGCTGGAATCTTAGACCTGGTATGTCTTCTGATGTGCAAGCTAGCATGCGCCCACACACCACTGCTCGTAGACCTGTGCTGAGCTGGCTTCTGATTATCTGTGCTGCAGCCAAACATGGCATTCCCCCCAGGGTCCTCCTGTAGTTGTCACACCACCAGGGAAGGGGGCCATACCTGGCACAGGAGGAGGATGGGGCGAGTCAAGGTGAGGGGAAGGGAGGACCAGGTGTGCTGTACGGGAATCTCTAGAGGCACATGACACTTGCTGAGGAAGGGCCGGGGGTCTACTCAGAAAGGAAGAAAAGAATCTTGTCCTTCCCCGTGCTCTACAGAAACAGGATGACACCCGAGTCTTGCACAGAAGACGTGGTTGACTTGTGTTCTTTTTTGGGAGAGTCTTTAGAAGACAATTTTATTGCTCTTTGAAATGTCATGTAAAGTATAGAACTTATGCAATTTCCATCTTTAAATTTATTTATGTGGTAGAAAAAGATACATGCACTCTCTCACATATTCACAATGGTAATTTCCAACAAAGCTTTCCTCTGTTAGAATAATATGCATTAATAAAGAACACACTCCAGAAAACAATAGTATCTCATTCACAGATGTTCCAACCTGGTTGACTGCAAAAAGATCTTTCATGTATCTGTGTGCCATAAATATGCACTTCTAGTTCCTTGGCCAAATGCTCTGTGTTTCCTTGGGGTCTCTTCAAACGCTTCTTTGACAAGAGTTGTGCATGTGTGCGTACAGGTGTGTGAAGCCATGTCCTGCTCTCTCACTTTGCCTTATTCTCTTGAGACAGGGTCTCTCACTGAACTGTGAGCTTGCTGTTTCAGTTCTAGGGTTGTGTGCTGCCATGGTGGCTTTGTAAAAAATGTCGGTCCTGGGAATCTAAACTCGGGTCCCCATGGCTGCACAGTCGGCCCTCTTACCCACTGAGCCCTGACACATCTTCAACTTAAGATCTGATTTCTCATTGAATGTTTGCTGTGATACTGCGTGAAATGGATTATATTTAAATGCCTTGCGTCTTTGCTGATTTTAGTTAAGATTTTTGCCATATCAACAAAGGGAAGAAATTCCTGTGGGGTGAGGAGGAGGACCTCCTGGGGACAACCTCGAGGTATCATGCCATGTTCTGCGCTGAGTACATCCTGGACTAACTCCTTTCGTGTTCCAGCTGGCCCCAGGTTTCGGGGCTTGAACTGAGGTAGTGGCATTTAGTAGACAGTCCTGGCAGCGGAGAATGTCACATTCAAACTGCAAATCTCGAGGACAAGGGATACCGTGTGAGTCATGGCCACACTGACAGGAGAAGAAATCAGCTCCGTATTATTCTACCACGCATATGAATACTGCATGGTGAGATCAAGGCCGGCAGGTACAGTTGCAGAAGTGCTTGGCAGGGCCCCTGGGATGGGGCTGCAGGCACATCCACAAAAGCTCCATTCAGGTCCAGGCACCATAGCATTGGGGGGAAGACGGCGGCAGCTTGGGAAGTTTCCCACATCTCCCTCTCTAGTCTCTCTCCAGAATAATGTTCTCGGACTCTTTGCCAGTGAAGGCTCTCCTCTTCCTCACCATGTCACTAACTGGTGGAGGAAAGGAAAGGTGCCCCCAGGCTCTGAGGCTTATACTGGTGCTCCACCCCGAGCAGGCAGATGGCACACTGGCTCGGTGGCCAGTGGCAGCATCTCTTGCGGCTTTTGAGATGGGACACTTTCCTGTGGTTGCAGGACAGCACATCCAGGCATGCTGCCCACCTCTGCCATGCACTCTGGATGGTGGGTGCCCTGCCGTCATTCCACCCCCTGCCAGCGCCAGACTTGCCACATCAATGTCCAGGTCGCCAGCCCCAGGCCTGCCTGCTGCTCCACCTCAGTACTGAGTTGATTCTCACTGGGCTCAGCTGCCCACACTCAAGACTCTGAGGCCCAGCCCAGGAGCCAAATCAAAGACCCCCCAGCTTTAGGATCTGGCTCTCAGGCTGTAAGTTGCAATATGCAAGTGGAAATTGGGGTCACCAGCCGTGCCACAAAATGGGCAGGGATGACAGTGGGAGGCTAGGACATAGTGACATGGGAAGCACAGGGGAGAGGAGGTGAGCCAGGTCCTCAGCAACCTCGACCCACCCACCCAGAACTCTGTGAAGGTCTGTTCCATCCGATGCAGCCTGGGGACTGTGCTGAGGCTGCTTTTACCTTCTGACCCACACTGGGAATGGACGTCCTGGCAGCTTGGCTCTTGCCACATGTAGATGCGGCTGCCAGGAGGTGTGGCATCCTCTGCCAACTTCCCAACGAACTTTGGCCTAGCCTCAACTACTTGTCAACTGTCAACCCCAGACAGTGGTCAGCAGTCCGAGAGACATCATGAAGCACTTATGGCTTTACACAAGGTGATGAGGACTTAACGACTCAATGTAATGAGACAAACTCCAACCCCAAAGCCCCTGCAACTGTGGTAGCCATGGAAGAAATTGGGTTTGATGCCCAAGGTATACAAGACTCTTCAGAACAGAAAATACAACCAGACAATGGCAACATATTGTCTACTATAATGCTAGACACAACAGGGGGATGGCTGCATGTCCCAAGATGAGCCCAGGAATCCAGAGTGACACCACCTTTCCCTACTTCCAAGATCCTGCCACCAAGAAGAAGGCAAATACACCTGCCCTTTGAACTTCCATATCATTATCTTCAAAAGATCAGTCAGAGTAAATGGGAACATCACTCTGCTAACCCTAGAAGAGGATGCCCATGTGCCACAGCCCACCCGCACCATATGGCTCTTCCCTGAATCTACTCACCTGGAAGAAGCCAGGGGGACACAGAGGACAGCACATCCTCCCAGAGCTCCTCATCAGGAGAGAAGACCCTCCGCGCAGGACAGTAACCTCAAGCCCTGGCCAGCACAGGGGCTGGTGAAGGGGTGGCCAAAGGGAATTGGAAATGGTCTATTAAGACTTTGTTACTGGGTTGGAGAGATGGCTCGGCGGTTAAGAGCACTGACTGCTCTTGCAGAGGACCCGGGTTCAATTCCCAGCACCCACACGGTGGCTACAAACCGTCCTTAACTCCAGTTCCAGGGGAATCCAAAGCTCTCTTCTGACCTCTGTGGCATTGCACGCGGGTGCACTCACATACATGCAGGCAATACACTCATACACATAAAATGAAAAAAAAAGGAAAGTGTTTAAAAAAAAAAAAAAGACTGTTACTGCCTGACATCTAGGAGAAACCTTGGAGAGGGTAGAACAAAGTGTACCGCCCCCCTGGGAATGAGGGGACAGGGTGTCACTAGAACATGCAGGCGGCACCGTCCAGGTACGTGTCTATATTTGGTTTTATCTGTGTTTTACTCATGTCCTTGTCAGCTGACAGATCATTATTCTGTGCATTTGTGGGGTGGGATGCGTGTGAAGCTATAACTAGGCACTGCGGGTGGTTAAATCACATCTATTAACACATCAAGCACCAGAGAAGACACAGCCCTGATCCCACTGCTGGGAGTAGACGGTAGGCAGGCATGGGCTGAGCAGAGCCTAGGACTTGGTGTGGTTAAATGTCGGTCCCAGGAATTAGCTGGTGATGTGAAGGCCTCTTCCCTTTCACCCTCTGCCCGCCTATGCCTGGATTTATCCTCTGCCTCCAGGCCCAGAATATGGAAGAACCGGCTTTGTGACAGCAGAGGACAACGGGCCATGAAGTCGTGCTGTGAGCCTCATGTGTAGCCAGTGCTGTTCTGACCACTTCGAACAGACAGACTTTTCCTTTGCAGCTTCTAGAGGACTTGCTAATGTTTAGGGGACTTCAAGATCACCTGGGGCAGCCGCTGCATCATTCATTTTTTTGGTCTCTGATTCAGTCAGAACTGGAACGTGAGTAACGCCCCATGTTGAGTGTGATGGACTTCCTACTTCCAGTCCAGGATGATGGTTCCTGTCTCATCTTTGACCCTGACCCTCCCAGAGGCGTACTTGGTCTCCTGGCAGCCATTGCAGTACAGTCTTGGTGGTGCCATCGGGGAATTCCCTCCTCTTGAACTTGGCTGTGTGAATTTTTCTCTTGCCGTTGCTGAACATGATGGTTTTATCACCGTTCCTCTTAGAGAGACGCTCTGATGAGCAGGGCTACGATAAAGCAGCTCTGCCAGTATGAAGGGAAGCATCTGGGGATGAGTGACACCACCTAGAGCCCCCACCTGCTCTGGGAAGAGGTTGTGGCTTCCCAGGGAAAGGTGGGGAAGGCATTTGGGGCTTAAAGCACAGGGGAAGCCCAGGATGGGAGAGGGGGAGTTGGGTCTGGGAGCCCAGGATGGGAGAGGGGGAGTTGGGTCTGGGAGCCCAGGCTGGGAGAGGGGGAGTGGGGTCTGGGAGCCCAGGCTGGGAGAGGGGGAGTGGGGTCTGGGAGCCCAGGATGGGAGAGGGGGAGTTGGGTCTGGGAGCCCAGGATGGGAGAGGGGGAGTTGGGTCTGGGAGTCCAGGATGGGAGAGGGGGAGTTGGGTCTGGGAGCCCAGGATGGGAGAGGAGGAGTTGGGGCTGGGAGCACAGACCCTGAGACCCACACATCTCAGATGGGGGTGAGTGGAGACCGCAGGACTGCCCAAGGTTTGCCAGGAACACAATAGAAAACATCCCCTGGGCGGAGGGATGCGAACTGTGCCGACTGCCACCAGGGGTGCCATCACAGTTCTAGCCGAGGGGAAAGACCCGAGCACACAGGTAGCCAAAATGAAGGAGCTGGGGAGGCCCAAGGTCAGGGGAAAAATATGCCAGGACGCACAATGGTCAGGGGATGTTGGGTGAACACTGGGAACACCTAAGGTGAGTTTACTAAACTCTCGCCAAGTCTACTGGACAGATGCCATCTGAAGGCCCTATGGACCTCGCCCTCTGCACACACCAGGAGCCAGGCAGTGACGTGTGACTTTCTTGCTTCATTTTGGATTCTTGCTTATACATGCTCTGCAGTAGATTCAGGCTTCTACACAGGGTGGATTGAGGAGGCAGAGACTGAAGATTGCACTCAAGGTCGGCTATCTTCAGTGTCTTAAACACAGTCATGTGTCTCTTAGGCATGCTGACACATTCTGAGAAACATGGAAGAAGATGATTCGGACACTAGCCTGGATTATGTTACCTGATCATGTAACCTGTGGGGCCACCATTGTATCTGCTGCCAGTCACTGAATGCTGTTCAGTGGCACGTGACTGACCCTAAAATTCTGTGTAAGCTCATATTCTCTACAGAGAGATTTGAATCAAGGTCACAAGACTCAACTTCTAGGCCCAATGACATCCTTTTCTGTCATCATATTTAAATGAACACCTAAACATTTGCAAAAATGTAAATGACTATAAATAAATTGTTGAACACAGCACCGAACATTGGGGCTGTCTTGGCTCCACACCGCCTGACTGAGTCCTGACCTTTTCACGGTGACAGTTGTCCTGTCAGGAAACACGGTCTCCTCGCACCCATCCTTGAGCTGTTTAATTGTTCCATCTGGAAACACAGTTTCCTTGGAGCCATCAGGGTAGAATACCTCTGCAGAAAAAAACGAATTTTTTAAAAAAAGTGCATGCTACGTTGGATGTATGTTGAAACCATGTTATATCTAAAATATCTATACTAAAATGAGATTCAGAGAAAGAGACCATTTCCTAATCATACGAGTGTGTAACCAGGATTGCCAGTCATGGTATCAAATGCTCTGTTGATCCAAATTTTAGATAAGTGAGTACGTTTTATTTACCTCTGTTCAGACAGTCTCCAGTTTATAATGGTTTGTTCATCTTTCAACTTCGTGATGATGCAAAAGTGATACACATTTGGTAGAAACTGGATTCAAATTTCAAAGGCTGATATTTTCCCAGGATATGTATGGGTTTGTGGTACAATCCTCCATTGGTGCTGGCCAGTGCCATCCCACGTACTGGGGCCCCAGACTGGATTAAAAGGGGAGAAAAGGATGCCAGCTGGGCACCAGTGTGCATTCTTCTCTAAGTCCTCACTGCGGATGCCATGTGCCCAGCCACCTCACACTCCTGCTGCCAGATGTGTCTTTTCCACCATCACGGCCTGTATTTCTCTGATCCATGAGCCAAAATAAACCCTTCTTCCTATCCGATGCTTTTTATCAGCTCTCTGGCCACAGTAGTGAGAAAAGGAACTAAACCAACACCTGCTGACAACACACACTTTTCCCTTTCCGTGCTGACTTTCAAAGCCAAGCTGGGTAATCGATGCTTGCAGCTCCATCGACCCTGTGAAGAGGCCGTCCCTCTCGGGGGAGCCCACTGAACTGCTGCAGCATCTGAGTTTATGTGGGAGCCCAGGCCTGACAGCAGCACAGCAGTGCAGTGCAGGGTTGCGACCATCAGCACGAGCCTGCAGACGATAGAAAAGCTCCCAAATAAAACTTAGTTGATAGAGTCCTCTTTGTCCTTCCACTCTCTGGTGATCCTTTTATTCTCGTTGGCAGTTGTTGGCAGACAAGCAGAACTGAAGACTCCTGGGAAAAACCAATGTGAAGAATCTGACGATCAGGACGAATCCCCCCTTACAGCACTGTGACTAACGGGCTCCGTCGGAGAGGCGCGCTGGTGCAGCACTCTGGAGGACAGGCTTGACTCTGACTCAACAGCCTGAGAACCACAGCATTCCCTGACTGCCTGGTGCATGGGCAATGCAAAACAGGTCTTTGCTGAACTGATATGAATGCACAGACATAGGGGTGTACCTACACAGTGAGAGAAGGGGGCCAGGCAACAGCGAGGCTTTGTTTAACCTTGTTTCTGAAATATCAGTTATAGGTGGCTATGTTAGAGATACGAAAACCAAACCTAGCAACAGAGACAGGACTTAGAGTCCCTGCTATAAAGTCAAGTGATGTATTAGTGATACCAACGCAGACCAGAGAGCCAAAGAAAAGATGGGTCTGTGGAATTCGTTCCCTTTTCTTCACCAGATGTGGTCAACATCCATCAATCACCTGATGGGGCATTTATGAACAAACAGGTGTGATTTTTCAACGTCAAGTATGTGTGGAAGGTCACTGGAGAAAGCAATTGCTATCTTGACGACCACTATGCTCATGTGCCATGTCAAAATCTCAGTGTAAGTGACAAGACCATGGCAGCACTGACTGAAATATTAAGACAGAGAAAGAAATGTCTGCCAGAGACTCATCAGCACCGCAGCTAGCCAGGGTGTGATACGGCACCTTCTTGACCATAGCTATGCTATGTTAAAGTTTAGCCTGACTCTAGTCTCTGAAATTACTAGGCTGTTGACCCAGGGTATGGGAACACAGGTCAGCAGGCCCCCGGTTGTCTTGGGAACAGGTCAGTGTGTCCTGGAGAGCAGCTGCTAACTGCTGATTTATGGCTTCTGTAGGTTATGCTTGGCTTGCTTCCGCAAAATGGTAATCGTTTAACAGAATAGAAATTGTTAAGGGGGCTTTGTATCTGTAAGCTTGGGAGCTTAAACTTTTCATCTCTGGTTATGTTTTTTCTGTATAAAACTTACCCCAAAGAGGGCTCGGGTCTGCACTTGGGTTCCACAACTGTGGCCAGTTCCTGTGTAGTCGCTGGCAAGCTAATAACAGACTTTCATTTAGCAAACTTTGTCTGAGCAGTCTTCTCTGTGAAGCACCTCATGAGGGTCCGTACGGCCTAAACGGCGGCAGGATTCACCACGGCTCCGTCCTGCCTTGGCACTGTGGTGTGCCATGGTTTCCAAATCCTCCCGCTAATGCCAAGTAACACAGAAACCCTTTCAGGTGCACCCAGTGGCATGGGAAGGGTTGCCGAAAAGCAGCTTAGAACTGCTGCTGCCACTGGGGTCCACAAGGCTCAGCTCTGTGGCTGTATTGGAAGAACACATGTGCCCTTTGTCCAGGGATTGGGCCTCAGTCTGTACTCAAGGGGCCACTCTCAAAGAAGGACAAACTAGAAACAATTCTACCTCCCACCAAGTGCTGATCACCAAGGAATACAGTAGCCTTTCTCTGAGTTCTCTCAGGAAAATTTGCAGCTACAGGCCCTGAGGTGGGCTTGCCAAATTCAGTCCTGCTACTTGCAGGGTCAGGGACACTGCACCTACAAACTCACATAAAGTGGTCTCCGGCTACAGTGCCCAGGACACCTTGCAGAAGGCTTTTTGGAAGGATGGCCCCAGCCTGGGTCCCCTGAGGTTGCCATGGAACCTGACTCCACAGGACAAGCCTGAAGAGCAAGGAGCGGAGGCCCCATCAGGAAGCGTGGGCAGGAAGCGTAGGCAGGGGCAACTCAGCAGCGACCTGGTCACCTGTCCCAGAAAGGACTGAGTCAAACAGTCTACAGTAACTTGAGAATTCAAGGAAAGAAGAAAACGAGAGTTGGGTGGTCTTACCTCTCACACTCCGTAGACCTGGGACAGACCAACAGGAAGCAAAGAAATCCTCAAAACCAAAGCCAAAAAGCCTAATCAAGCACATGTGATAGGAAAAAGAGGAAAAAACATGAACCAGGGGCAGTTTTAAAGGATTTACTCAGAGTGCAACGAATATAAAAGGGAAAGGTGAGTTCAGCGGCAAGGGGCCAGGCTGGGCGGTGGGTTCGGGAGACAAGGAATGAAGGACAGGCCATGTTAACAGTCACACAAGGCCAGCTGGGAACCGCCCTGGATTTAATAAGCACAGGAGTGTTGCATAAATTCCAGGACACCCAGATAAACTCAAATTTCAGACAAACAAAAAATGATTCTTTTGATATAATTATGTTCTATGTATTTCATGTAATGTACTTCTAATTAAAACATTCAAATCTCATTGAGCAGCACCATTTTTCTTTGCTGGATCTAAAGGCTGGATTTCTGTTGCCCCTGGTGCTCACATAGCCCACCATGCTCAGCACAGGCACACAAGGAATCAGGCAGGGCAAGTGTAGGGTGACATCACTCACCGGTCCACTTGTTGGGAAACTGCACGATTTCCACACCATCGGTATAGGTCGTGTGTGTCGTCTGAGCAAATCTGTGAAGACCGGGGGAGTGTGTTGGGAGGCAGGTCTTCTTATGCTGAGACCCTCAGTTGAACATGAAGAATTATGCCCCACAGGTGGCTCAGCACTGGGGAGAGGTCTGACCATGTCCATGGGCACCTCCACAGCCGTGGAACTCAGGAAGAAGAGTTAGTCACTGACACCCCAGACGTCACCACACTGAGCTGTTGGTTATTGGGAGATCATGGGGCACAGCCTAGTTCTTAATCCTATACCTAAGTAGACTGAAACCTGTGGCCTGCGGGCCTGGGCACATCGTGGGACCTGTAGTCAGTGGGTCTGCATTTGGTGGACACGGGCCCAGTACCCCATGAACCCCACAGTTCTTAGACTAACAACCAATTGCAGCTTGAAAGAGTGAATCCACATGCAGTGCCTCCAGTGTCCACAGAGCTGCACCTTGTGAGCTGCCGCTTGACTGTGAAGTATCTAACAGTCATGTCTTCCTTTGGTTTCCAAGGAAGGAGAGAAAGGGGGATGGGGATAGTTACAAAGAGGGAGGCGATGAGGTGGGGGCAGGTGTTCCTGATGCCAAGACCGGTCTGAGACCTCAGCTGGGGCGGGAGCACCAAGGCCAGCCCCCAGACCACAGCTGGGGAGGGAGACATTTGAAAACCTACAGCCACTGAGTGGAAAGGGATCGCTCGTGTGGAGGTGAGAACCTGGAAGGAAGACATTGCTCTACTAATCTGAACTCTTGGCTGGTCACATCATGTTGGTCCTCTGAGATGATGGCCATGTCTGCCCATCCAGAAAAGGGGAAGGAGAAGACAGACCAGGTACCTTTAAATAGAGTCGTACTGTTGGGAAACCAACAGAGATCAGAGGGATTCCCTGCACTGTGATTTTAGAGTGTCCTCTTCACATTGCCAACTTGTTCAGAGTAGGCTGAAGCAGAGTCCCCACGTCTCTATCGTTACACAAGTGCTCTGTTCCCATCTCTGCAGACCAGGAGACACGGACAGGGGATAGCAGCTCCTGTCCCCTGGTAAGGCGCACACTGGCCACCCTCTGTAACCATTCACTCCCAGCGTTGAGGGGAAGTCGAGCTGGGAACTTCCTGTGCTGGTTCTGTGTTCTGACCCAGCTTGTCCCTGTCTGTTTTAAGGTTTGTCTCTCTCTGCCTCTCTCCACCCCTCCCATCCAGTCTCCCTAAGAAACATGAGACCCCAAGGTGATGCCACACATCACACCGCCTCACTGAGCTGTGACTTCCTAAAAGTCGCTCTTTAAATGGGTCTCTCAGGTCCACTTAACCCCAGTGTGGGTTAGCTCAGGTCACCTGAAGGGTACCTGGCACCATGTACATGCCCTGTCTACACCCCAGGATGCTAACACCCACCTGCGAAGGATCATAGGACTTCAACAGAGGTAAAATGATAGAGCAGTAACTAAAACAGAAACGGAAAACAGAGAGACGAGTTCTGCGGTACCTCCTGCTCCGGAGCATGGGCCTGAAGCCGGGTTAGAGCAGCACAGCTAAGCATCATAAAGACAGAAGCGTACCCATAAAACCCAATCGCAGTACTAAACCATTGTTCCCAATCCATTGCAAGTCCCAGGCATTATTTTTCATGATTATTTGTCAGTTACCCAGAATTTCTCTAGTTCTCAAATCCCAAGATATCTGGACAATGGACTCTCTAAATTCTATCCAGGTGTGTAAACCCAGTATTTGTAAGGCTGAGGCAGGAGGATCATTCATGAGTTTGAGGTGAGTCTGGGCTGAATAGTGAGTTCTAAGCTAGCCTGGGCTACAGGGTGAGACCTGTCCCCAAACTAATTAAATAAGAGAAGAAAAACCCTCTGAATTCTATTTCCTGTCACATGGGAATCCCCAGATGCAACACAGAACTCCCTGGCTTTGCTGTGGGGCCACGAGAACTTTAGGGGCTTCCAGCCTGAAGCAGGGATCCAGCTATCACAATCGACTGCTTCCTTCTCGTGTGTGCTCTCCAGAGCCAGAGGGCAAACAGCTGGTGGCTCCTGAGTACTTACTACACGCTCACACCACATGCCAAGACCCTTCCAAGGGTCTCTCCTCCCTCAGCTCTACCAGCAACAGGGTTGGATGACTCCCTACAGGAAAGGAAGGCTCTAGTGCGCAGCACCCCTGCCTGCATCCTACCACATGCAGCAGCACCTCTATCATCCTGAGTAATAACATCGCCAAACCCTCAGACATTACAATTGTCCAGCGGGGGGAGGGAGCAAATTGTCCCCAGCCAAGAAACGGCCTTTACTATTTCCTGATCATATCAGAGGCAGACACTGAGGCTCATTGAGATGGACTCATTTGCTGTAAGCACAGCTGACCTGACAGTGTGGTGACAGCTCCCACCATGAGGTTCTCAAGCCCAGGGGCATCTGCTCCACCCAGCTCTGTGGCTTCAGGAGGTGGCAGCTGTGTGGAGGTGAGACTGAAGGACAAGGATCATCACTTTGTTCACCTGACCTCCGGCTTGTGTCGGGGCCGGCTCCTGACTTGGCCTCACTGTGTTACGGCACTAATGCTAACGCTGTGACTTGTGTCCATTCTCTAAGTCTTTACCAGTTGGCTGTGTTTCCAGAAAGTACTAAAGTAAGGACATTATTTAACATATTGGGTCATTTACTCTTTGTAACACTCTTATGATTTAAGTCCCAATTATGAGCCATTGAAGATTGGAAACAATCACTAAACGATTCACAAAGTGGGTGGCATGGTGTTGGTGGTGTAGAGCCTGAGGGCTGAGGCCATGAAGACTTATGCACCTACCACTCTCTGATCTGGCTTGACCTTCTTCATGTCACCGTTGAAAAACTTGATGAGGGTCGTCTTCTTGTCCGCATTGACCTCCTTCCCGGTGCCATTGGGGAGGGTGGTGATTGTCCAGCCATCCCTGAGCACCTGCTCCACCTTGACAGAAACACAAACGCTTCCAGGTAAAGCACTCTGACAAGCGTGATTACTGAGACTCCCAACACCCATTCCTGAGTTTGGTGTTGAATACTAAGTGTTGTGATTTGTTCCTCACCGCCTGCCTTCTGCCAGGTAATGCTATGCATTTGCCACGAATCTGCATGATCCATGGTCATAAGATTGGTGCACCTGAAATCATGGGTCATATAAATTGCATGATTACTACATGAGAGTTACCTTTTGTACTGTAATCCCATCCTTTTGACCCATACACATCTAATGACTTCAGTTAACAATCAGCAAATAGGTAACTTCAAATACATACTGCTAGGCTCCTTGCCTTGACTAGAAAATATTACCCTTGTAAACAGTACAAGGAAAGAGACCAACAGAAACAACTTCAGTTCGGGAAGTTAATACATGTACATGTGAAAAACTCGATATGGCAAAATGCGCTTTTATTGATTACGCCATATGTCATAGTTACTCTTAATACAGCCTGAAATGTAGTTGATTCTTTAGAGATAAAAGCTGATGCTTGTTTCTGAAGAGATCAGCAAACTATCAAACAAAACCCGGTGTTGTGCGCCCCCTGCTGGCTGAGACAAAACCATTGTATTAGCAGTTGAACCGGTCTCTCTCCACTCATTCTCCTGCTCCCCCCCAATCAGGTGAACGGTGGGTCGTGAGCACACTCCAAGATTTCAGCGACCAGTTCCCTCTCAAAAATAACAAGGCACACATAGTTTTTAAATGTTCCATGTATGGAAATTGTAGAAATGAATCACAGTTGCATAAATCAATTCCATACTGATGCTTTGGTAGAAAGCCAACTGCACACATGACAGAGGTCAGTTAAGACGCTAATGGAGCTGAAAAATTCCCGTTGTCCAATGCTGTGTGGCCATTGAGCATGGCACAGGGCATTGCTATGCATTTGTGGTGATACTGTGGTGAACACACCTGCCTGTGCAATTCTGTCCAGGCCACGCCAGGTACTGGTCATAGGCAACCATGGGGGTGGAACGGGGTCTTGTGCAGTGGTGACAGTGCCATGCCAGTGCAGCCTCCCCCAGCAGATGACATCAACCATGGGGGTGGAACGGGGTCTTGTGCAGTGGTGACAGTGCCATGCCAGTGCAGCCTCCCCCAGCAGATGACATCAGAAGGCCACGGAGAGTGACTGGGGACATCTAGGTTTGTGTGAGTCACTACAATGTTCACACAGTGCTGGAATTCCCTAACGATGTGGTTCTGAGAACACGTCCTCATCATTAAGTCATGCGTAATTGTGAAAAGAATTTCTGCATGTCCAGTGCAAGATACACGAAGATGGACTCAAGATACAGAGTGCAGAAGATGACAAAAGTGACGGACCGGGAGGAGCCAGGCAGACAGAGCGGTGTCTGCTAGGGGAAAGCTGGCTCATGCTAGAACGTGATGCAGCGGGCCGCCTGTTGAGGCTTCTTAAGCTGGAGCAACTAATTCATCTCTCTTCTTCGCATAGACCTTGCCACCGAGACAGTAGGCAGGGTGCTTAGACTGGGTTCCTTTCGCCTGACACCCCTACGGAGCAGCCATACTGAAGAGGGCTTTTTGGGCTAGAGCTGTAGCTCAGGCTGCTTACTTCGGACACCTACCTTGCCACTCGGGTGCTGCTTTTCCTGCGTCTCATCCTTAGTCTTGGTGTCCGTCTCATCCTCAGTCTTGGTGTCAGGAACTTCCCGGGAAGTTCCTGAGCGGGCCAGATTCTGTTGAAAGAGTATAGACACTGCCCTCTGTGGCCACCAACAGAACTGCAGTGGCCATCTGACTGGGGCTTGGGACCCTGGTTTATGATGGCGTTCTCCCCTCTTGTTTGAACCACTCCAGGACCAGCATGGTGACAAGTACTTTGTTCTAATTCTGAAATGCACAACACCAAGGCCTTGGGGTGAACCAGTAGCTGGAGCCTAGTACATAATTAAAGCCCATTTCACCTGCTAATGATGCAGGGTAACTTCCTGCTTGTTGGGGACCCTATGGCGTCTGCCTTCACCTCCCGAACAGCATTACAGCCCACGTTTTTGTGGAAAAACTGCTTCATTCTCTTGCTGTTTCCCACTAGACGTCATGTACCAGGTGAAGTGACCACTGGCTATAGTGGGAATATCTCTAGATTGGTCTTTGAGTCCATTCTTTTCCATCGAGCTTTACAAAGAAAAACAACAGAGTATACCTTGGCTTCTGGGACCTTAAAGTCACTAAGGATTAACATGCCTTTGGCCATGTGCCTAATGCAGCCCACGTACGTCTTACTGGAATCTTACATTTTACTTATTTGAAAGTCTGGATGCACTCAGAGACTGGCGAGTGTTTGCAGCCGTCAGAGCCTTCTCTGAGCATGAAGAAGAGGGACAGGGCAGCAGTCTCTGTGAACCTCCAGTCTTCCCACCCCTACCTCCCAACCCGGGGTTGGGTAGGCCATCTCCACCAGGTGAAACCCTACCTACCTGCAGCCAAAAATGCATTTTGGGAAAAGCCTGGGAGACTTCTAGTTTAAGATAGGATGAAAACCTCCCCTTCAGAGTTCTCTGGATTGGAGGAGCATGGGTCTGGAAGAGCAGAGAGGTGCTTTTCAAAGGGCTGTGTGCACACGGTGAAAGTGACATTATCGTACTGAGAGTTCCAAGCCTGAGTTAAGCTGTGAACACGTTCTTGTTCTCTGGGAGGTTACTATATAAATGCTGGTGATTGAGCACGTGAAAAGCATCAAGTGTTCTGTGGAGACGTTCAGTCGTGTCTGCTGACCATCTTTACTAAGCATGGTGGCGGCCCAGGGCGAAACCAGAAGAGGGTGGCACCTGTGCTGATGCTGCTTTTGCCCCAGTAGGAGGCAGATACAGGAAGAGAAAACTCACAAACCCAGTGACAACTGGGCACTGGGCATGTGCAAGGAGACAAAGGCCACGGGAAGGAGTACCTGTGCACCCAGGCGCTGGCAGGAAGGTCACCATCACCAACGCTAGTCCAGGCCCGAGGTGAATCACCATGGCTCCTCGTACACAGCCCCCAAAGCACAAACTTGTCATCAGGAGGTCATCAGGAGGGCCAGGGGACTGGGCCAATTCAGACCAGACCTTGGGGCGTCCGCAGGATTCTGCCAAGGGTGTGGTGTGAGGTCTAAGGCAATGGCACCAGCCTTTGTCTGTGAAGGTCACTTCACAGAATGCCCTCATTTCAGCTCTGCTGTGATGAAACACCCTGCAAAAAGCAGCTCAGGGAGAAAGGTTTTTTGGCTCTTTGCTCCAGGTCACAGTCCATCAGCGCAGGGAAGTCAAGGCAGGAGGTTAAGGATCACATTCACAGTCAAGAGGAGAGAGAGAGAAGACACAGACCCTTGCTTGTCTCAGCTGACGTTCTCCTCTCTAATATTGTTCAGAACCCCGTCTAGGGAATTGCTGCCCACAATGGCTGGGTCTTCCTACATTAGTTAGCAACCAATACAGTCCCTCACAGATATGCCCACAGGCCAACCTGTTCTGGATAATTCTTCATACTTTCTTTCAGAGAGGAAGCAGAACGATTATAAGAGCTAGAGGAGGTGGATGACCACAAACGGTTTCCCAGACAGGTCAGCTATTCGTATGCATTCACAGTCATGGTGACAGCACAGACAAGTCCCATGTAAGCTCTACCCAGACAAAATCCCAGCATAGATGTGGGGAATTGGGTAAGAAACCGCAACCCTATCTGAGGACCCATTGGAAACTGATGACTGCTGGGAAGGGAATCAGTCACATTTAAGGGTAAGCCTCTCAGTAGGCTGACCAGACTCCAGTGAATAAACCCATGCTGAAGGGCATTTGGGTCACAAACCTGACTCTATAGGCCTTAACATATATACGTATGATACATATAATCTATGACTCTATAGGCCTTAACATATATACATATGATACATATTATATATATATGTGTGTGTGTGTATATATATATATAAATTTGGTGGAGGGTTGGAAAGGGGGTACAGATATGGGAGGGAATCTAAATATGCTAAAATATATTATATGAAATTCACAAAAATTCAATAACATTTTTTTAAAAACACTCTTCCCAAGTGATTCTACGTTGTCTGAAGTTGACAGTTAAAACTAACCTGCACACAGTGGTACAAAGATATCAGCAGACTTGGGGAGACAGTGCTGTGTTTGCCTGTGCATGTGGGTCCAGAGCTCAGTATATTGAAGGGGACTCGTGGACTGGGCAGGAGGGTGGGATGGAGTCAGGCTACACAGGAGGATGAACGTCCCATCTCTGCCCACTGAGGATACAGCTGAGCCTGGCAGGTAAGGCTCTGGGCAAAGGCTCCGCTCCAGAGTCTGCGCACACCCAAGGACCTGTCTAGGGGTGTGAAGAGTATGATGGGCATCTCCAACAGCAGCCGGGAGGAGGCACTTCTCCTGCCCTATGAGGGATTCTCTGCCGGTGGAACCCACAGGCACAGGAGAGGCTACATGCCTGGAGGTCAGGCAGTGCTGGTAGGGGTGGATGTGAGAGGCAGGTAATGCCACAGGCCAGTGGGTAGAAAGGGAAGGACTGAGGACAGCCCTGGACAGCCAGCCCAGGCTCTGCATAGGTGGTGGGAGAGGTTACCAAGGCAGGCAGAGAGGAGCTCAAGCTATCAGACAGAAAGTGACCAGAAACTAAGGAGCACCAGAGACTGTTAAATCATGTGCTGTGTCCGGATCCTAACGCCCACCCCTCATAGTGAGCACCCTGCAGGAACCGGCCCCTTCCACTTCACTCTTCTCACGGGCCACCGACTCTGTCTCCTGGAACGTGGTATCAGTAGTTGGTTCTGGTGATTTTCTATCACTGACTTTGCATAGAATTTTGAAAGATGGGCTCATCTCCTGCATACAAAGACAGTTGCAAAACCTGCATGTCACTTCCCCCAGTGACACCACCAGAGCAGAGACAGGGTGCTGTGCGCAGCCACGTCAGCTCCCAAGTTTTTCAGCAACTTCCCGGGTCTCACCAGGAACACTGGGCTCAGTACCCGGAGGCAAGGCAATTGATCTAGTGTAGAAAAGTCCTACCTATAAAGTAGGGCACATGGTTATCTAAATTCTATTTAGCTTTGTTTTTTATATTAAAGACAAGTCTCAAGATACCCAGTTTTTAAATCTATAGACATATAGACAAATTACTAAGTCTTTTTTTTTCTGGTCATTTCTTTTTTTAATAACAGAGTCAGAACTTTTGTCGGACTTTATCCACCTGGGATAAAGCTGGACAGGTTCTTAGGCTGGAGAGGTGGCCTCCTGTCTACGCCTGAGGACCTGAGTTCAGTCACCAGAACTTGCAGAAAGCCAGGTATGACACCACACTTGCAACCCCAGCAACCAGGAAAGGGAGACAGAAGATGCCCTGGAGCTTCCTAGCCAGGCAGTCAGTCAGCCAGGCTCTGGCTCAGTTAGACATCACACCTCAGAAAATGAGGCAGAAGACTGGAGAGATGGCCCGGTGATGAAGGGCACTTGCCATTCTTCCAGAGGACCTGAGTTTGGTTCCCAGCACCCACATCAGGCAGCTCATATCTATAACCCCAGTTCCAAGAGATTTCCTGCCCTCTCTGGCTCCCATGGGCACCAACACACAGGTGACAAACACACACTGACATACACATACACATAAGTAAAAATAAATCTTTTTAAAATGAGGCAGAGACAGAAGACACCAGACTTTATTCTCTGGCCTTCACACAGCTGAAGACACAGGTGCACACAACAGGTATACATACAGCACTCCCCCAATAGTACAGGTTCCTAAGGTCACCTTTTCATCAGTAGACAGCCTCTCTTCTAAGTTCCTACTCCAGTGACTGCTGTACTTTCATTTTGAAGACTTCCGGAAGGGGTATCCTCTCTCTGGTCCCACGCTGTGATTTTCTCTGAGTTGACACTCTCTGTCCTTATGAATGGTGGCTGAAAATAATTGTGGGACATTTTCACCACTTTCAATAAAACTGCCCAGAAATATCAATTAGTATGTCACGTTTGCTATTCCGTAGTCCAGACTGTGATAGTCCATGGTTATGCTTGTCTAAGGGACAGAAAGCGCAGCTGCTCTGGGCACAGCCTGTCCCCATTTCAGCCTTGTTCAGAGTCACTGTAATTGGTAGCATGGTAAATGAAAGTACTTAAAACAAGACTTAACAAGGTTTACAGTGCTTGGATTGTGGCTTTGGTGCCATCCTCAAATTGATGGCTTTGAGGCTTGGCTTAGCCGTTCACACATCTACCAGACAGTCTTACTGAGGCTGATGAACTGATTACACATTCTATTGTGATCCCCAAACAGGAAAACCACCACACAGAGGCTCCCCACACAGAAAAGCAGCAACTGCAAGACCACTGTAGCGGGGCAAGGGAGCCTCAAGCATAACAGGTGAGCCAAAAGGCATTATGGGATAAGGCCAATGGACAGGCCACCTTGGGCTGCATTACAGGGTTAAAACCTGAGGACGGCTCTTCTGGGTCCAGCCATTTCAGCAGGCTTTCCAGGGCGAGTACACAGAGGAAGGAATCATGCCTTTAGGATGTCCCTTTCCAGCAGACCTGTTCAGGGTTAGGGTTCTACTTAGACAAGCACATGCTCCTGTCTCTGGCGGATGTTCGGCTCCCCAGAACAAAGGCCCATCTAGGGATGTGGGATTACCAGCGGAGCTGGGGAACCGTTTGAGTTTGAGTGAGGAAATGCTGTCCCTTGCAGGGTGAATTCGGAGAGTCACCTTTGAAGGAGGTGTGTGTTTAGATGGCAGTTTTCACCCTGGGAGTGCAGTGCCAAAGTCCTTGTGAGCAGCGTATTTGGGCATTTTGTCTTCATCAGCTGACAGAGGAGAACCCTTTCCAAGTGTAGATGTCGATTCCTGAAAGTCAAGATCTGACAAATCAAATTCAGAGAAGCTTCCCATAGGTTGAAAGGTACAGTAACTACAAGGAAAGTTCAAATTATAATCTCTTCAATAACATTGGAATGTTTTTTGAAAAAGTTTTTAAACTTTTAAAATTTTATTTTAAGTTTGGCCTGCATGTATGTAGGGGCACCATGCGCATGCAGTACCCTAGGGGGCCAGAACCGGAATTACAGATGGTTGTCAGCCACTTCGTGGGTACTGTGAGCTCAACCTCGGTCCTCTGCAAGAGCAGTCAGTGCTTTTAACTACTGAGCCTTCTCTCCAGTCCTGATATTAGAATGCCTTTTAAAAAATAGTTTATTTTAATAATGATTTTTAAAAGGTGAAAAAATTTATTATTTTTATTTTATGTGCATGTGTGTTGCCTACATGTGTGAAAGTGTACCTGTGTCATGCAGTGACTGTAAAGGTCAGAGAAGGGCATTGGGTCCCCTGGAACTGGAGTTACAGATGGTCGTTAGCTGTCATGTGGGTGCTAGGAATCGAATCTGGGTCCTGTGCAAGAGCAACCAGCGCTCTTAACCACAGAGTCATCTCTCCAACCCTAATATTGGAATATTGGGACTCGAGCTAGGGGACTTGGGCTGGATTCCCCTCAACATGTTGGCAAGACTAGACTGACCCTGGCAGACGCCTGTGACTGAGTACTTGGGGGTTGGGATTTTGTGCACCACACTCTCTTTTGAGGCTTCGCACATTTCCAGCCATGCACCTCACACGTGTGTGTCTGTACACGGTGGCCCTTTTGAGACCATCTTAAAATCCTGTCTGCACACAGCTATGCCTCAACATGTTTAAAAATGTTGCATTTACATCCTGGTCTTTTTTTTTCAAGGGTGTGTGTTTGGAGAGCTGATGCTGTTCCTGTCCACAGTTGCACAAGGATCAGGGCATCAGTGGGCATTTGGGAATTCACTGAATGATGACCTCACAGCAAAGGGAGACCTGACACCTGCAGGGAGATGGGCAGCGACTCCTGGGGTACGTCTCACCCACACACCATGGGCAGTGGGCAGTGGGGACAATCTGCTGGGAAAGGCCATCAAATCTCTAAAAAGACACCTCCCAGCCTCTATCAGCGACAGAAACCAGTTGCTCGGTTCCACGTAAGACAGTGACATGAAGCCACTGCAGTGTCTCTGAAGGCAGGGTGGCTCCCAAGCCCCTCCTTGGCTTCTGTTGCAGATGATCTGGACTGTTCCTGAGTGCTGGGGATGAAAACAGACCCCAGGCCCCAGGATCCTGAAAAGCCTTATAGCAATGTGTGTGTGTGTGTGTGTCTGAGTGCAAATGTGAGTGTATGTGTGAGAGTGTCTGTGAAAGTGTATGTTAGTGTATGTATTCAACTATGTGTGCATGTGAGTATATGTGTCTATGTGAATGTGTGTGTGAGCGCACATGTGTGTGAGCGTGTGTGCCTGAGTATATGCATGTGCGAGTATATGTGTATGTGTGTTTGAGTACATGTGTGCATGTGAGTGTATAAGTGTGTGTATGTGAATGTGTGCATAAGTGAGTGTGTGTGTGTGTGAATGTGTGCATAAGTGAGTGTGAGTGTGTGTGTGTGAATGTGTGCATAAGTGAGTGTGTGTGTGTGTGTGTGTACTTGTCACTGTACCACATCAGAAATACCCAAGTTGATTGGACTTAGAAGTTTGACAGGAAGCAAGGTAAGAAAGACCAGTGCTTTTTGATCCCCTCAGAACATCCCTAAGCAGAGTGCTTTCACAGTCCTGTCAGTATGTGGGGTTTTGATGATGTCATCTCTGTAGACCCACAGGCAGGAAACAGCATGTAGACAAAGCTGGAAATCACCAGCCACGCTCAGTCTGTGGTACCTTCTGTCAATCAGATCACCTGACACAGGCCTGGCTCCTGTCAGGCAGGCAGGACCTGAGATCCTGGTTCCCTAGAAGGCATGTGATATGGGGTGACCCCACTGTGTCTACCCACAGCTGTCCTGGAGGATGAAGAGCAGGGGTGCTCCGAGTCGGCCAGGGCTTGATCCAAGCCCTACTGTGGCCCATCCTTTCCTGTTCTACCAGTAGAAGCCTGGAGCATTGCCAGGACCCGGTGATGCTCCTGGGGAAGTCAGCTGTCCCATTAGAGCTTCATAGGTGTCCTGGAGACAGGGTGCAGGCCCTGCAGCCCAGGGGGCACATACTGTCCCTAGGGTTCCCAGAAAGACTGACAGGTCAAGACTTACTGGCACTTCTGTGTGACTGGGACAGACAGTGGCCCTCACCAGGTGCCCACACAAGAGCACACACACCTTTAGGTACCTGTCGGTGTAATGTAGAAAGCCTCCTGTACCAGAGTGACGGATGCCTCTGCCGTGGCTGGCGAGGGTCTGAGGGTTTTGGCGCCCTCCACGCCCTGCTTCAGAGCCCTCAGGTCCTCACGGAGCTCCTGGTTCTGCCTTGTCAAGGCATCAATCTGATTCTGGAGGTCTTTGTGAGCTGCACACCACCAAGATGCCTGTCTTGTGAGCTCAGTTGCAAGGTCACAGATCTGCTGCTGGAGTCCCTGGAGTAGGAAGAGAATGGCAGACAGCGCTCAGGCACCCCACAGAAGCACCACCCCAAACCCCAGATTCATATCTAGCCTCTAGTTCTGACTTAGCATTTCCTTGCTGGGTGACCCCAGAGAGGCCGCCTAACCTCTCTGGGCCAGTTTCTTTTCCAATTAGTGTCCCTTAGTGACAACCATCTATGTTTAATGCCTTCAACCAGCTACCCCATTAAGGACTGCTCCCCCTGCATTGGCCTAGGTTGAACAGCCTATATCGCAAGGATGTATGGGTGGTTATATAACTCACCTGTGAAGCTTCTGAAGGTCTTAGACTGATGTCATTTGCTCCCATGTCCCATCTCTCACAAGCCACGTGGCCAAGGGCTCTCTGCTTGCTTGCTTGTTTTTCCTAGTTTTAACAGTTCTAGCATGGAAAATTTCCCAGCTACAGCAGTTAGCTTTTTTTTTTTTTTTTCCTTTTTACTATTATTTTTTCCTCTGAGTCCTTGGACCTTACGCACGTCAAAGTGTCCCACCGTTTTTCTCTCTCCAGCTCTGCAGCTGCATCTGCCAGTTCAGCCTTTTCAGCTTCCCCGCCAGGGGCACATCTTTTATCATGCAAAGTGGCTGCTCTCTCTCTGGGCACTCTGTTTGGGTCCAGAGCACATACCCACATCTTCACATACCCACAACATATCCCCACATTTACAACACAGCTGTGGCCCCGGCTTCTGCGTGGCTGGCCTCTTTTCAGTAACCCATTTTAAAAACCACATCAGCCCGGCCATCAGTGCTCTTCCAAAACTCATTCCAAGTTTTGTCATATCCTGCCAAGCTATGCCAATTTTGTTGCCCAAATTCCCTCTGGGTCTCCGGCGCTATCAAGAAAACCATATAACACATCTTTATGTGCATTTATTAACTTGCAAAGGAATGAGTACCCAGTGCCTAGCCTCGCACCGTGGCTCAGAGCCCGCTGTATCAGACCGCACCATGCTCATAGTCACCACTAGCATTCGCTCACTCCTCCGGGGCCAGCGATCTCGCCCCAGGTCCTTGAGAGTGAGGCCATTCTGTCCTTGAGCTACTGTGTGTTCTCCACGCCACACACACGCTACCCACAGCTCCCATCCCAAGATGGCTCCCAGTAGTCCCTCAGTCATCCACACTCTGCGACAGGCCCTGCCCCTTGGAGGAGCTAGCCAACTGGGAGACACCCTCATACAGTGATTTTTTTTTTTTTTTTTGAGACACAGTAACCCAAGCTGACCTGGAACTGGCTATGTAGACCATTCTGGCCTCACAGAGATCCACCTGCCTGTGCCTCCTGAGAGCTGGATTAAAGGTGTGCAACACCACTCCGGCAGACAAAGATTCTTGACTCAGAAGTCACTGAAAGGCAACCAAAATGTGGACTGAGATTGAACACCCGGTGCTGGTTGTAGAGGCATGAGGGGGTCATGGAGAGCAGCTGAGCCTTGGCACTGTGAGCAAGCAGAAGAGGCCATTGGTGAAGGTACAACCTCAGCTGCACTGCAAACCCGAGATATTGGAGATGCCAGAATTATGGGGTAACCACCAGGCAGGGCATCACACGAGTGGAGCAGCCCCGAGTCCGTGAAGCCAGCTGTGTGTGTGTGCAGATGGTGGAGCCGGAGAGGTACAGATGCCCTAGCCTTTTGGGAAGCAGAAGATTGTGAATCCGAGTTGTTACGCACTGAGCTGCCCTGATGAATTTTGGTTTGGCTTAAATGCACCTGGTTCTTTTCTTTTGGAAAAATAAAGTAACTTCTTGTTTGTTTTTAGAGGCAGGGCCCACTATGTAACTCTGGCTAGCTTAGGGCTCACTATGTAGACCAGGCTGGCCTGAGATTCACAGAGAGCCACCTGCCTCTGCCTCCTGAGTGCTGGGATTATAGACGTGTGCCAAGACTCCCAGCTGTTTGACATTTTCTTATTTTACAAAAGCCCACAGTTAAGATATTCCAGAGAGTCCACCTTTAAATATTACCGTTTTAAAGCTTGTACATTGGGACTTTGATTTTACGGTGACTTCTAAAGTTGTACTATGTTTTAAATTATAATACCAACACGAGGTCATGAGATAAACGGGAAAGGAAAAGACATGGCGTGATGGTGATGTGCTTGTCAAGGGGTCAGTTGTGCAGGTTGATTTTGGTCTGCTTGACACAGGCTGGAGACACCTAGGAAGAGGGACTCTGTGTTGAGAAACTTTGTTGGATTTGCCTGTGTGCATGACTGTGGGGTGGTTTCTTGATTTTTGAGTGATGTGTGAGAGCCCAGCCCACTGTGGGTGGTGCCACCTTTGGGAGATTGTTCTGTGTTGCATAAGAAAGCAGGCTGAGCAGAGGCCAGGGGAGCAAGCCAGTAAGCAGCATTCCTCCATGGCCTGTGTTCCAGCTCCTGCCTCTAGGTTCCTACCCTGAGTTCCTACCTTGGGCTCCCAGATGAACTGTGACCTGGGAGATGTAAGACAAAATAAACCCTTTCTTCCCCAAACTGGTATTGGTCAGAGTGTTTTGTCACAGCAATTGAAGGCAAACTAAGACAGCTTCCCAGGACTATGGACTCCAAAGCACAACATAAAATAAAATAAACCCTTTCCTTCCCAAGCTGTTTTAGTAGGAAGCACACGAGGACAGGAGGCTCGTGTGGAGGTCAGTGGTGGATGTTGGGGTGTCTTTCCCAGGCTCAGTTATCTATCTTGTTTTTGAGACGGCGTCTCTCTCTGAACCTGGACTTTGTTACTTAGAATATACTGGCTGACCAGCGAGGCCCTGGGACCCACCTGTCTCTGGCCTCCTGCCCTGAGCTCTGGCATTACAGGAGTGCACAGCCACATCCAGGGTTTACTTGGGTTTCAGGTGATCCAAACTCATGTCCTCATGTTTGTGCAAGCACTTTGCCTACTGAGTCACCTCCTCAGCCCCTGAGGGAAGGTTTTTCTGGTTGGAGAATGAAGGCCGACAAGAGGTGTGTGTTTGCTTGGTAGCCTCATTCAACACCGAACATGTTGGCCCGTTTCCTTCTGGCCTCCAAGGCTTTTGATGAGAATCTAATGATGTCCTGGAAAACTCTGAGGAAGGCATCTTCCTGCCAGTCTCATGGGTGTAATAAATTACTGAACTGTATTTTACAGACAGAGGTTGTCTTACATGTTAAGTTGTATCACTTTGAAACCAATCAGTGGGAATTCAAAAAAAGGTAACATGGTGAGTGTAGACCGAAGAGGCCTTTAAACAGAAGACAGGAGACTTCCAGAACCCAAGGACAGGGGAGCTTCCTACAGGCTTTAACTGCTCAAAGTCACTCTCCATAGCCCACCTGAGCCAGAAACCCTGAGTCCTCTCTGGTCCTGGGAGTTATGGCCAGTCATGGCTGGTTCCTGTCCTGCTGTGACCTCATGAGCAGCAATTGTGAGGGGGTGCAGCCAGCAGTCACAATGGGGTGGGTGGCCCTGCATTTCTTTGGGTGTACTGAGAGGAGTGGAGGAGTAGCACCCTGCGTGATTTGCTTGTACCTAGCATGGATCTGTGTGGACTTTGAGTTTGGGTGTTGATTGTGAGGGGGTGCAGCCAGCAGTCACAATGGGGTGGGTGACCCTGCATTTCTTTGGGTGTACTGAGAGGAGTGGAGGAGTAGCACCCTGTGTGATTTGCTTGTACCTAGCATGGATCTGTGTGGACTTTGAGTTTGGGTGTTTGGTTTGTGTGTGTGTGTGTGTGTGTGTGTGTGTGTGTTCTTGTGTGTGAAAGCACAAGTTTGGTTGTGTGAGAGTGAATATGTGTTTGTGAGTGTGTAGTTTGTGAGTGCACAGGTGTCAGTGTGATTGCATTCGTGTGTGTGTGTGTGTGTGTGTGTGTGTGTGTGTGTGCACAGGTGCAGGTACAGGCATGTGTTTGTCTGCATATGTGTGTACCTGTGTCCATGGAAGCCAGAGCTCAACCTTGGGCACTGTCCGTCAGGTATGTCCTCCACTTCTTTTTTAGAACCAGAGTCACTGACTCAGAGTTTGCCACGTAGTCTCGGCTGGATGGCTAAAGAGCCCAGGTGTCCACCTGTCTTTACCGTCACAGCGCCGAGAGTAAAACTTGCACAGCCTTGCCTGGGGTTTTTGGTTGTTGTTGCCAGGATCTCACTATGCCCCTCTGGGTGACCTGGAACTCACCATGTAGAGCAGACTGGCCTCAAACTCACAGAGATCTGCCTCTAGTGTTCTGGTATTAAAGTTGTGCCCACCATGTCCAGTTTCTATTTAGATTTTTGGACTGTTTTTTTTTCTTTTTTTTAGTTTTGATTTTCTGGCTTTGTTTCATATATTATTTTGGTGTTGCTTGTTTTTGTTTCTGATTTTCATTTGCAGTTTTAAAAAATATTTTATTATTTTTATTTTATGTGTATGCATGCATTGCCTGCATGTAGGTAAGTGCACCTGTGTCGTGCAATGCCTATGGAGGACAGAAGAGGCTGTCAGATCCCCTGGAACTGGAGTTATGGACAGTTGTTAGCTGCCATGTGGGTGCTGGGATTCGAACCCGGGTCTTCTGAAAGAACAGCCAGTGTTCTTAACCACTGAGCCACCTCTCCAGCCCCTCATTTGGGGTTTTTTTAAAGTAGTATTTTAAAATTTGGCTTTCTAGTTTTTTATTTTGGTATTTGTTCCCTTTGGGGTTTTTAAGCTTGGTTTATTTTGTATTTTTATTTACTTTTCGTTCTTTTCTCTTCAGTTATTCTCATTTGCTTTTCTTTGTCATTTGGAATTAGCATTCTTGGTGTTCCTGAGCTGTGGTGCTCACTCAGCTGTGAGCTTCCCTGTTGGTTTAGATTTTCTGGCATTAAAGGCATGCGCCACCACAAGCGGCTTGTTAGGGTTTTATGGTTTTCTAGTTTTTACTTCGGTGCTTGACTGATTTTTCCCTTTTCTATTTTGGTTTCAAAGTGTTTAAATTTTTTATTATTTTACTTGTGTGTTTTCTGCTTGAAAGGGCACCCGTGTATGCAATGCCTGTGGTGCTCAGAAGAGGGCGTTGGATCCCCTGGAACTGGAGTTACAGGTGGTTGTTAGCTGCCATGTGGGTGCTTAGAACTGAACCCAGGTCCTCTGCAAGAGCAGCCAGCGCTCTTAACCATTAAGCCATCTCTCCATTCCACAAATGAAGTCTGGTAGTACAATTTTGTCAGTAAAGAATATTAGACATACAGTTTTGAATTTATATTCTAAGATATAATTATGTATTTTTAGTTTGAGAATTATATCAGTTTAGTTATTATAGTACTTTCTATTTCTTTTTGTTTTTATTTTTTAACTTCCCGGACAGTGATTTTTATCTTTGAGGAATATGGAACTGTGGCTCATGGTAGGGGTTCAAAGCTTCAGGCTCATGTGACTGGATGAGAGCTCCAGTTCATAGGAGAGGACTACAGTTCAACTTCACAGGAGGAGGCCACAACTCTGATTCATTGTTAGGGGGAGGCACCACTCCAACTCCTAGGACATGAGACTACAGCTCCAGGTTCATGGGAGGGGACCACAACTACAGTCTCATGGGAGGGGACCATGCATGACTCCAGGTTCAGTAGGGTACCACAGCTTCAGCTCCCATGAGGGGAACCCAACTCTCGTTCATGAGAGAGAACCTTTTTGATTTATTTTTATTTTACATGAATGAGTATTTTGCCCCTATGTGTAAGTGTACCACATGCATACAATGCCCATGAAGGTTCAGTGCATAAAGAAACCTGTTGACAAGTCTGACCACCTGAATTTGATTCCTGGGATCCACATAGTAGGAGAGAATGGACTCCTGGCAAACTGTTCTCTGACCTCCACATGAGCACCGTGGCACACATGTATCCATACAAATTTATACAAACACAAAATAAAGAAATGTAATAAAAAATAGAGAATTTCTTTAATTTAAATAATTGATGAGTACCTGTGGGTCAATGAGATGGCTCAGGAGGTGAAGACACC